TCCTCTAATGCCATGACCCTTTAATACAGTTCCTCCTATTGTGGTGACCCCCAACCATAAAATTATTTTCATTGCTACTTCATAACTGTAATTCTGCTACTGTTATGCATTGTAATGTAAATATCTGATATGCAGGATATATTTTCCTTGTTACAAAGGGGGCGTGACCCCCAGGTTGAGAACCGCTGTTCCACTGTCTTTCTGTAGATTTTTGTCAATGTTATAGGTACCTCCAAAATTATACATTCTCTTTTTGAGGAATGCAGAGTTCAGTAAATGCATAAATGCAAATCTGTGGATTGTGTGATTTAGTTTTTCTGTGTCCTTACTTATATTTTGTCTACTTGATCTGTCTAGTTCTAAAGTTTTTCATTCTGTATTTTTTTTTTTTGAGACAGAGCCTCAAGCTGTCCCCCTGGGCAGAGTGCCGTGGCATTACAGCTCACAGCAACCTCCAACTTCTGGGCTCAAGCGAGTCTCCTGCCTCTGCCTCCCAAGTAGCTGGGACCACAGGCGCCCGCCACAACGCCCGGCTATTTTTTGGTTGCAGCCATCATTGTTGTTTGGCGGGTCCGGGCTGGGGATTCGAACCCGCCACCTTAGGTGTACGTGGCTGGCGCCTTAGCTGGTTGAGCTATAGGCGCTGAGCCTTATTTTTTATTTAATCTTCTCTCCTTCTTGCTAGTTAATAGGAGGATTTAGATTATTCCAATTTACTATAATGATCTATATACCTGACTTTTTGTTTCCATTTTTCTTTGTAATAATTATAATGATATACTTTATATCATTATCCTTTCATTTTCCTCTTATGCAGATTTGCCTTTTTGAACATTTGAGAAATGTAGTTGTGCTCTTCTGTTTCATTACTGGGCATCTTCCGCTCCCCCTCAGTTCTCTGTTCCACGTCTGGCCTTTCCTGACCACCCCCTCCCCTGCTTTTCTTCATGGACTTAGCATTTCCCAACATTCCCCATATGTTTAATATTTGTTTATTTTCTTTCTCCTCCACTAGAATGTTAAACTCGCCAAGGACAAATACTCTCTCTGATTGATCTGTGTGTCCCCAGAGCCCAGGGCAGTGCCTGGCCAGTTTTTGGTGCTCAACAAATAATTATTGAATGAATTACATTTTGCATATTTTAAAATATCTTTCTGCCTTTTGCCTGGACAGCTGGGTGACACCTTAGCTAGGGTAAGGTTTCTGAGCGGCAGCCCTTGCCTTGCAACAGGACCCTACTACTGTCCTCTGTTTCCCACGCTGCACAGAAGTCCGGTGCCAGCTCATCCCTCTAATATTTTGTGCACACCCCAATTTATGCAATATTATGCTTGTGTATTTTTGTTTCTTCAGCAGTCTGGTTTCTGTATCTGTGCATCCTTGGCACAGGGCCTCACGTGTAGTAGGAGTCCACATAATATTTGTTGTATAAATAACTAGGTGAATGAATCCATGAGTAGATGGATAAATGAAGGAAGGAAAGACTTGAAGAGTGTGAGAAAACATATGACATATTTATTGCAGAACCCCTGGAATGTCAGCCACAGAGATTTCTACACTAATGGTTCTCAAAGTAGGGTTCCTACCCAGAAACTCAAGATGCATGCAGATTTGGGGTTTGCACCCAGACCTACTAAATCAGAAGCTCTCAGGGTGGAGCTTGGCAATTTGTGTTTTAGCTGCCCTCATGTGAGTCTGACGCATACCATGGCTGAGAACCACTGCTTTAGACTGTAGGGAAGTGCTGAGGCCGGGAGTAGGGAAGTGGCTTGCAAGAGCTCACACGGTCCAGGAGCAGCACAGCTGGGATTAGGGCTGTAATTAGGCCCCCCCAGAGGGCCAGGCCTGTACTCTTACCACCCAGCCCAGATGCCTCACCTCATTTTGCTATTTCTTTTTGTAATAGAAACCAACCTTACATTAGTGAAACCATTTCAAAGTACCGGGATCAAATCTCCACTCTTACAGAGTTTCTGATTTCTCTGGTTTTTTTCCAGTGTTTAAAAAAATGTGACTTAGAGTTGTTTCTATAAGAGTGGGAGCAGTGGAAACAAGCCAGGTGATTGCATTACTTCCCACAGGGTGCTTCTCAGGCTGAGGCTGTAAGGTTATAGCTCACCGTGGGGCTCCTGCCCTCCACCCTGCCTGGGGCCTGAATGCATGTACAGCATCTGGTTTCCTCCTGTGGTGGAAGAGGATGTGTGGACGGTGGCCAGAGAGAGAGCTTTGACATTGACTAGGACCCCAAGATCACTGTGTTTTGCTCACTGGTTCCTTCATTTGTTACCAAGAGTCTTCTTACTGTGTTTTGTATGTTCCTTTTGAGTCTTATTTATACGAGTATTTTTTGTTGATTTTCATTTTATTTTTTGGTCAAACCCTGCTTATTACACTCTCCAAGATAGCTTCCTTTCTTCACTATCCTAGCACAGGCCCATCCTAGCCTTAGACCCCCTACCCCTCATTTTAAAAAGAATTATCTTTCTGTTTTCAAAAAGTTTTAGATTTATAGACAAGTTGCAAAGATAGTTCAGGGTGATCCTGTATACTTGTGTAACTTGCGCCCTCTGTACTTATATTCTTCAGAGAGCAGGATTTTGGGATTCAAAACTGATTTTTTTGTTGTTGCTGGTTTTTTTTTTTTTTTTCGAGACAGAGTCTCACTCTGTTGCCCTGGTGCCATGGAGTCAGCCTAGCTCACAGCAACCTCAAACTCCTGGGCTCAAGCAATCCTCTTTCCTCAGCTTCCTGAGAAGCTGGGTCTATAGGTGCCTGCCACGACACCTGGCTAATTTTTCTGTTTTTAGTAGAGATGAGGTCTTCCTCTTGCTCAGGCTAGTCTTGAACTTTTGAGCTCAAGGGATCCTCAAGGGATCCTTGGCCTTCCAGAGTGGTAGGATTACAACCATGACCCACTTCATCTAGCCAGAGAACTGAGATTTTTGAGTAGAACAGTAACACTCTTTGATTAATCTTTTTTTGAAAAACTTCTAGAGGTTTTCTGTTGATTCAACCAAATTTTATTGAACGCACATCATCTGTCAGACTTTGGGATATTTGTGGGATAGGTTCAATGATGAACATGACACAGTACCTGTCTCTGGGCCCGTCAGCCCAAGATAGAATTTATTTTATTAATATATATTTTTTTATCTTTAATTGTGTTAAAATATATGTAACATAAAATTTACAAATTTACCCATTTTTAAGTGAACAGTTCAGTAGTGTTAAGTCCATAGACATGGTTGTGCACCCAATCTCCAGACCGCTTTCATCTTTCAGACCTGAAACTCGGCACCCATTGAATACTAACTCCCCGTTCCCCACCTCAGCTCCTGGCAACCACTAGTCTACTTTTTTTTTTTTGCAGTTTTTGGCCAGGGCTGGGTTTGAACCCACCACCTCTGGTATATGGGGCTGGTGCCCTACTCCTTTGAGCCACAGGCACCACCCACCTACTTTCTATCTCTAGGAATTTGACTACTTAAAACCTCATATCAGTAAAATCCTGTAGTATTATCCTTTTGTGCTTAGTTTATGTTATTCAGTGTGACGTTTCCACGGCACATCCAAGCTGTACCATGTGTCAGGATTTCTCTTCTTTTAAAGGCCCCATCGCATGTCTGTGCCACATTTTGTTCATGTGTCTGCTGGTGTGCACTGGCTGGCTCCGCTTTCAGCTGTTGGTAATGAGGCTGCTGTGAACATGGGCATGCAGCTGTCCCTCCAAGTTCCTGGTTTCAGTTTTCTCAGGTCTCTGCCCAGAAGTGGAATTGCTGGATCACACAGCAATAGTATTTTTAATTTGGGAGCGTGTCCTCCATATTATTTTAGGTAGTGGCTGTACCATTTTACATTCTCACCAACAGTGCACATGGGTTCCAGTTTCTTTATGTACTCACCAACACTTGTTAACTTTTGGTTTTTCTTTCTTTTTTTTTGCAATATTTGGCCAGGGCTGGGTTTGAACCCGCCACCTCTGGTATATGGGGCCAGCGCCCTACTTTTTGAGCCATAGATGCCGCCCTTTTCTTTCTTTCTTTCTTTCTTTCTTTCTTTCTTTCTTTCTTTCTTTCTTTCTTTCTTTCTTTCCTTTCTTTCTTTCTTTCTTTCTTTCTTTCTTTCTTTCTTTCTTTCTTTCTTTCTTTCTTTCTTTCTTTTTTAGGTTAGTAATCCTAAGGAGGATGAGGCAGTGTCTTAGAGGTTTTTTCTTTTTTTCTTTTTTGGCTGGGGCTGGGTTTGAACCTGCCACCTCCGGCATATGGGGCTGGGGCCCTACTCCTTGTAGCCACAGGTGCCGCCCGTGTGTTATGGTTTGAACTTGCATTTCTCTCATGATTAGTAATGTTTAACATCTTTTCATGTACTTGTTGGCCATTTCATATGCTCTTTGGTAAAAAGTTTATTCAGGCCATTTGGCCATCTTTAAATTAGTTTTATGTTGTTGTTGACCTGTAAGCGTTCTTTATATATTGTGGATATTAATGACTTATCAGATATATTAATACAATTTGGAAATATTTTCTCCCATTGTGTGGGTTTCACACTACTCTCTTAGTAGTGTCTTGAGATGCACAAAAACTTTTCATTTTAATGTAGTTCATTTTATTTAGTTTAACTTTCATTGCTTGTGTTTTTGGTGTCATAACCAGGAAATCATTGCCAAATCCAATGCCAAGAAGCGTACCCTTATGTTTTCTCCTAAGAGCTCTATACTTTCAGCTTCTATATTTGGTCTTTGATACATTTTGAGTTAATTTTTGTATATAGTGTAATCTAAGGGCCCAACTTCATTCTTTTGCATGTGGATTTTCAGTTTTCCCTACACCATTTGTTGAAAAGATGGCCTTTCCCCTTAAATGGGCTCGATGCCCTTGTCAAAAGTCATTTGACCATAAGTGAGCATTTAAAAAATAATAGAATGCATTTTGAAATGACATCAGTGTATGTTAACACATGTGTATGTGTGTGTTTCTGCCTCCTCGCACCTCAAATCTAGGCAGCATCACACTGTTTGCAGTCATTACTGTCATCCTGGGAGGTCTTAAAATTGGATACTTCGTGGGATTTTCGAAGTGTTTGTCAGCCACCGAAGGAGTCTTTCCGGTCACACACTCAGCGCACACTGTGCTGCAGGTAAACAGCTGACATCTGCTTGCACCATCTGGGCTCGTGTTAATTGCTTCCCAGGCGGGGTAAAACCTCTAACATCACGATGTCCAGCACCAGGGGGCAGGCTGACCCCAGAGAGGCCCCTGGTGAACCTGACTCGGTCCCTGAGGCTCAGCTCTTCATCTGCCTCCACTGTAGAATGGGATTCTTTGTCTCCGTGGCTGTCTTTGCGGGGATGCTGTGAGGCAGAGCTTAAAACAATAAAGACTCTGCCTTGGAAATTCTGCCACACCGGGATCTACCAGAAAGAATCAGAGGAATTTTTTTCTCGATGTATAACAGCTTTATACACATGCAATTTACCCACTTAAAGTGTACAATTCAGGGGTTTAATTTGTTCACAGAGTTGTGCAACTACCACCACAATCCATTTTCGGACATTTTTATCATCTCCCCAAAGAAACCTGTGCCACTGCAGATTGTGGGGACACTGTTTGCCCACTTGTGGGTTGAAATCTTTTAGAAATGTATGAGGTGCTTGTCCTTGGCCTTGATGAACTCAGTGTGGATCTGGGAACTAGGAAGCAAGAATTTGATAAATATAATTTAAATATCTAGCTTACAGTCAGAAACATCCCATGGTTAAAAGGAATCTTGGGTGGGCCTGCAGTGGCAGAAATCCCTGGTGGTGGCTGTCAGGCACAGCGAAGGATGCCTTTTGCTCTAATAACAGAGGTGATAATCAGTGTTTCTGCAGCATGTTAGAATATACAAAGTACCTTTTATTTATCTATTCTTTTTTTTGAGACAGAGCCTCAAGCTGTCCCCCTGGGTAGAGTGCCGTGGCATTACAGCTCACAGCAACCTCCAACTCCTGGGCTCAAGCGAGTCTCCTGCCTCCGCCTCCCAAGTAGCTGGGACCACAGGCGCCCACCACAACGCCCGGCTATTTTTTGGTTGCAGCCATCATTGTTGTTTGGCGGTCCGGGCTGGGGATTCGAACCTGCCACCTTAGGTGTACGTGGCTGGCGCCTTAGCCGGTTGAGCTATAGGTGCTGAGCCTATTTATCTATTCTTATAATCCTTCCAATGACTCCACAAGAACAGGTATTGGAGTCTCATTCGCATTTTCTCCTTTTTTATTGCATGTATTGAAGGTGTACAACATAACATTTTGCTATTCACATATATAGTGACCCTATCACTCTGGGAGGCTGAGGTAGAAGGATCTGCTTGAAGTCAGGAGTTCAAGACCAGCCTGAGCAAGAGTGAGACCCTGTCTCTAAAAATAGCTGGGCATTGTGATGGGCACCTATAGTCTGAGCTACTTGAGAGGCTGAGGCAAGAGAATTGCCTAAGCCCAAGAGTTGGAGGTTGCTGTAAGCTGTGATGCCACAGCACTCTACTGAGGGTGACAAAGTTTTACTTTCTTTAAAAAAAAAGTAAAAAATAAAGTTTGGTCTCAGAGAAAACCAGTGACTCTTGCTCAAAGATGTTGCTGAGACACAATGATTACTTCCTCCTGACAAGTCATCTTGGAAGATTGCGGACTTATTGTGGTGATGCTGTCATTGCTTAAAATTTTTGGATTTCCCATTTGCGAATGCCCTTCACACACAGCTTTCCACCCCCCTAGAGCCAGTGATGACATTTTTAAAACTGTATTTTATCCAACATGATACTTAGTTTGTACACTGGGTTGACTTACCAGAAAGTTATGGACGACCTTAGAATGTTTCTCAAGGTCAAACACATTCTCACATGGAGAAGCTTTCTGAGAGAGCAGGTCCAGTAAACTTGGAAACAGTTTAGCTCAGTGAGATCTTGCTGGGGACAGACTCATTTGAAGGGGCTGGCTTGTATTTGAAAGTTGCTATGCCCTGAATTCTGTCTCCCTCAAAATTCATATGCTTTCTCCCTAGTCCTCAGGACCTCGAATGTGACTGTTTTTGGAGCTAGACTCCTTTGGAGGAAACTCATGTTAAATACGCTCATCAGGGTGGCACTAATTCAGTCTGGTGTTCATGTAAGGAGAGGAGATAGGACACAAGCACAGACAGAGGGAGGACGGTGGCGAGACAGGGAAGGAGGTGGCTATCTGCACGCCCAGCAGGCACCCTGCCCACTCATTGGTCTTGGACTTCTAGCCTCCAGGACGCTGAGAGGATAAATTTCTGTTGTTTAAGCTGCCAGTCTGGGTCCTTTGTTATGGCAGCCTGGGCCAACTCGTGTAAGAGTTAACTAGCCCTGTAGTCACAGCACCGACAACATGGATAGCTTTAGTGAGGCCAGAAAGAGCTTCATTCACTTGTCATTCAATCATTTATTCATCCAGCCCATTTTTAAATACCATGAACACTCTCCTCAGAGTGAGGAAGGAGCACAAGAGTGAAAAGCTGTGGTCTAGGACATGCCACCTGCATAACAAACGCAGATGGGGACAACGCTGGGCTCGGGGCTTTGACCAATGTGCACCAGTGAGACAAAGACAGGGGAGGGCAAGGAGGGCATTCTGGCAGCTCTGGGGAGGGTGGGCTCTGCCAGGGAGGTGCGCAGAACTGGCTGTGCACAGGGAGCAGCTCAAGGTCCGAGGCTATGGGAAGAGGGTCTCCCTGGGACGTGTGGTCTTTGCACATGATGGGGGCAGGAGGACCGGTGGGAGGAGGCTGGGTGATGGGCACATGCTGATTCACAGTTCTGTACAGGCCTTATGAGCTTGGACTCTGCTCAGTCTGCCTGGCTCCAACTCTGACTGTCAGTGTGACTTCCAGGAAGTCTCAACCTCTGAGCCTCCTGGGGACAGTCCTAATATCTACTTCACCGTTTGTTGTGAGAGTTAAAGGTGCTGGTATATGAGAAGCACTTTGCACAGGGTTCGGCTTGCAGCAAGCCCTTGGTCAAGGCTGATCACCACCTAGGAGATTTGGCTTCACCTTGAGGCCAATGGGGACTCGCTGAAGGCTTTAGGCAGATGAATGCCCTGGACAGGTGAATTTTCAGAATATCACTCAAATTACTTTGTGGGTTAGAGAGCTTTCTCTTCCTAATTTAAGGCTTTCTTTTGTTTTTCGCTGGTTGATAAATTAATCATTGTATATTTTCTGGACATTTACACAGACTAAGCATAGGTCTATACTTAGGCCCGTCCTGGCCTACTACTCCCTACTACCTCCTTTACTACTTCTTTCTTTCTTTCTTTCTTTCTTTCTTTCTTTCTTTCTTGAGACAGAGTCTCACTTTGTCACCCTCAGTAGAGTGCTGTGTCATCATAGCTCACAGCAACCTCAAACTCTTGGGTCAAGTGATTCTCTTGTCTCCGTCTCCTGGGTAGCTGGGACTATAGGTGCCTGCCACAATGCCTGGCTACTTTTGGAGATGGGGTCTCTATCTTGCTCAGGCTGGTCTCAAACCTGTGAGCTCAAGCAATCCACCTGCCTTGGCTTCCCAAAGTGATGGGGTTATAGGCACGAGCCACCATGCCCGGCCTACTACGTGCTTTTGTTATGTTCAATAGCTGGAAAATGGATAAACATTTTTTTTTTTTTTTTTGCAGTCTTCTTTTTTGGCCAAGACTGGATTTGAAATTGCCACCTCTGGCATATGGGGCTGGCACCCTACTCCTTTGAGCCACAGGCGCCGCCCATTTTTTTTTTTGCAGTTTTTGGCCAGGGCTGGGTTTGAACCCGGCACCTCCAGCATATGGGGCTAGTGCCCTACTCCTTTGAGCCACAGGTGCCACATGGATAAATATTTTTAAAAAACAAAACTGTACTCCAGTTTTCATTCTTAAAAAGAAAAAAGTATTTATTTTAAAATTGTGGTAATAGGGTGGTGCCTGTGGCTCAAAGGAGTAGGACACCAGCCCCATATGCTAGAGGTTGGTGGATTCAAACCCAGCCCTGGCCAAAAACTGCAAAAAAAAAAAAAAAAATTATAATTGTGGTAATTACTGTGAAAATTGCAGCTACCAAGATGAAATGACTTGTGTCTGACCCAAGGGCTGAAGTATAGACCTATGCTTACATGTCTGTGTTAACAGTTTCCGAGGAGCTTCTAACATGGCTTCATGCCCCTCCCACTTTGATAAGGCTTATCACTGACATTCGTTAGGACTGCAGTAATTCAGAGATTTTGTCAGAAGAATGCTTGCGCAGAAGGGTATCTCCACCAATGAACTGACAATAACTCTGGCTTTGAGCCTCTAGCACCAATGAGTGAAGTAAAGGACCAGTCCCACATCAATTTTCTTCTCTTTTTAAAGCACTTGACATTTGGTTTCTGGCCAGTGGCACAGCGTAACTGTCCAGTGGATATTTCTTAGATAAACCTGACGTGTGCTACAAACAGGCTTCACGACAGGCATGGTACCGCCCCACACCCTCCCACGGCAGATGTCCTCAATCCACGCCAGCACCGTTTTCTCCTGAGCTGGGAGGGCATAGCCTGCTTTACAGCACAGTGCTCCTGGATGGCTGTCCCAAGGGGGGAATGGCACTGCCCCCTGAGATGGGATGAGAGGTCTTTGATGTCCCCAGTATTTTCTGACACCTTTTCTTTGAGTTTGAAATGACGATTTTCTCCCTGACACATTTTTTCTTCCTTTATTTCCACCTAGGTGTATTTTCTTTGGGGGCATGCAAAGGATATTATCCAGTCCTTCAAAACACTGGAAAGGTAAAAATTGTGGGTGATTGCTTTATATGTTAAATTTGCTATTCATTTGGAACAAATGAAACTCATTCCTGCCATCTTGCTTGGGTTATAAAAACTGAGACCAATTGTCCACTCAGTTCTGACAGCAGAGCCCTCAGTCCTGGCTGGGAGAAAAGGTTCTTTGCCTTCTCTCTTCCTGGGGGATAAATTTTGAATTTCAACTCTTTTTTTTTAAATTTGAATTTTGAATTTCAACTCTCCATCTAAGATGCTCCCCACCCCTCTTCTGATCTGAAAAGTGGACACAAAGGGAAGGCAACATAATTTCTTTCTTAAGTCTCATAGATTCCTAGTGGAGACATTCTCCTCAAAACAAAAGTCAGACTGACAAGAGAAAAACCAGCAGAAGGTGATTGAAAGATGTGTACCCTTCATGCGAGAGAGGCCTCAGTTCAAAAGTGTCTCTCAAAGCAATGGTTACATAGTATTTTAACAAAAAGCATTAAAATCTGTGATGGCAAGACTAAGAAAAGTTTGCTCTTTGATTCCCCTATCCCTGCTGAAGCCAGTTTCTGAGCCAATAAGAGCTTTCCCCATAAGGACAACTCTTAGACCTCTGTCTTTAGGGAAGAAAGGAGGGAGGTAGAAAGATTTTTTTTCTTCGAGAATTGCTGTCCTGCATCTTTAACCTTCATCAGCCCAATAAATAATCCTCATATTTTAAAGAGGAATATTTGGTTTCCTTCAGAGACAATACTATAGCCTGCCTCGGAGGACTAGATGGAGTCATTGACAGACAGCACCAGATAGCCAGCCCTCAGAAAGGGCTGGGTCTATCGTTATCTCTGGGAGAGTCCACGGGACAGGGGGCGAATTACCTAAGTGCAAGGTATCATTACCATGTAAGAAAGCCCTTGGGTATACACACAGGTGACCAGTATTTGTGTAGAAAAGTCCCTGATCACATAAACTCTCCAAGAACAGAGAACTTCCCCAGGGCCATTTAAAATGACAACCCATATTTAAAAGATTAATTTATGTATGACCACTGGATGGAACTATTTCAATTGACTATTGAAATAGAAACAGATTTCACCAACCTCATTAGGCAAAAAGGATCAATGTCAACCAGCATTTGGACATCTGTTAGGGGCCCACTGTGTGCAGGGTTCACTGTCAGGCACTGCCAGGAATATGCAGTGACGACGGCCATGGCATCCTTGGCTGTGTGAGTGACGTCTATAGGTGGCCCTGGGTAGACTCTGTCAATCCTTGGCAGTGACCTTGACAGTTTACCCCACTCCTACTAATACTGGAAGCCCTGCTTCTGGCTGGGGTTGAGGGAGCAAGGAAGAGGATGGAAATGTGTGTTGATGCTGTTTCCTACAGAGGAGGGCGATTGGCAAACGAAGACCCTGCAGAAATAACTTTGATTATCCCTTAGAACTGGACAAGACTTCCTCATCCATCCATTGTCACATTTACATCACACATGGGCTCTTGTCCACATCAAATAGATGGGGCAGCAGACTCCAGCAGGTTGAAACTTGTGCCAAGAGTGCCAGTGTCAGGCCTGAAATTTCTGGACTGGGCTGTTCCCTTCTGGGGCCGGGGAAGGAGGAGTGAGTGTGTGCCCTGCCTGCTCTCCCTCCAGCTTCTAGGCAGCTTCACCAGCAGCTTGAGGATAGCACTTGTTGGCTTTGTCTCCGTCATGGGTTTCACTTCATCTCCATAAAGTTAGGCTTTAGGAACAGTACTGTTTTTCCTGATAAACTTGTGTGGGTACCGTAGAATTTAAGAATCTCTGTAACAGCACTGTTATAGCCGAGGTATCTGCTTTGCTCTCCAGCTCGTATGTTGAGGCCCTAACCTCCAGTGGAAGAGTACTTGGAAGTGAGGACTTTGAGACGTGATTGGGTTTAGATAGGTCATGAGGGTGGGAGCCCCCAGGGTAGGGTTAGTGCCCTTGTAAGAATAGGAATGGACACCAGATATCTCTTTCTCTCTCTCTTAAAGAGAATATCTTGGCTCAAAGCCCAAGATCAAGATGTGTCCACTGCTGCCACTGCTTGTCAGGGCCCAGGACTGGCCATGTCTGAGGTCCAGCTTAACTAGGTTCTGGATGTGGACTGCCAAGCTACCTTGCTCAGGAACAATTTCTCTTAGGTGCTTGAGGGCTATCTACTTTAGCAGGAGAGAGAGACTTAGAGAGAGTAAAGCAGTCTTAGAATAGATAGATCTTAGTCTTTAGTAGAGCTTGGTAATCTTCAGCAGAGAGACTGTGCTGGCGTTCTGCAGGCAAGAGAGGAGACAGAGTCGGAGTAAGCAGGTCTGTGATAGAATGCACATGCTCCCAACTGCCTTCTCCTTCAGCCTAATGTAAGGCTGATCTCATGCCTCTCAACACCACAGTTGTAGAGACTGCCAATGCCAATTCAGCAATGCTCTCATCTCGCGAGCTCTCATGCTTGTTAGGAGTGCTAAACCCCTCTCCATGCCCTTTTCACCAAGGTGTTCCATTATTGAGCTATACAGGTATTTCTTATGACTCTCAGTCTTCCTAGCCACAGGCTATATGGGCTGCTACAAAGATGCCAGCAAGATTGATATCTAGTGAGAGCTCTCTCTTCCTGGCTTGTAGATGGACCTCCTTTACACTGTGTTTTCAATGGGTGCCAGCAAGCTCTTTCTCTTCTTAAAAAAGATACCAGTTGCGGGCAGTCCCTGTGGCTCAAGGAGTAGGGCGCTAGCCCCATATGCCAGAGATGGTGGGTTCAAACCCAGCCCCAGACAAAAACTGCAACCCCTCCACCCCCCAAAAAAGGACACCAGTTCTGGCTAGGGGTGGTGGTTCACACCTATGATACAGCACTCTGGGAGGCAGTGGCAGGTAGATTCCTTGATCTCAGAAACTGGAGACCAGCCTGAGCAAGAGTAAGACACTGTCTCTACTAAAAATAGAAAAACTAGCTGAGTGCTATAGTCCCAGCTACTTGGGAGGCTGAGACAAGAGAATCACTTGAGTTCAAGAGTTTGAGGTTGCTGTGAGCTGTGATGCCACAGCACTCTACAGAAGGTGAGAGAGTGAGACTCTGTCTCAAAACAACAACAACAACAAAAACAGTTCTATGGGATCAGGACCCCATCCTTATGGCCTCATTTAACCTTAATCACCTCCTTAAAGGCCCTGTCTCAAATACAGTCACAATGAGGATTAGAGTTTCCACATATGAATTTGTAGGAGGGAGTAGGGACATGATTTTGTCTCTAACAATAGTTGTTAGATATTTAATTTGCGTGAAAGTGTGTTTTGTTATTATTTAATATAAGCAGTATTATGATAAACATCGTCAGTCAAACATATTTTTCAACATCTTTAATTACTTTCTTGGGTTAAATTCCTTAGAAGTAGCATTGTTGGGATGAAGGGTGAGATACTGCCAACAAATGCAGAATGACCCAGTTATTTGACCCTAAAACTCTTGGCTGAATTGTATCAACTTTCTCATTAAAAAGAATTTTCTTCTACATGTTACTTATGAAGTTCTCGCTCACAATAGCCTCGTTGGTGGTGACAGTAGATCTGATCATGATTCCCATTTAGCAGATGAAAAACTGAGGCTCAGAGAAATGAAGCAAATGCCCAGGGCCAGGCAGGCTTTTGGGATCTGAATGCTGATGGTGACTGTAGTGGCTGCCAGATGGTTGTTCACGGCAAAGTCTTTCTCTGTGCTTGGTCACTTATTTAGTCAAAGCCTTGGGACATGTGGCTCCATGTCCCTCCAAGCAGAAAAGTCTGTGGCCCTGCCTTCTAGGTCTGAGCTGTCCAGTTGAGTAGTCACCAGCCGTAGTGGCTTCCAAGCCCTTGGATTGTGGCTGCAGCAAACTGACGTGTGCTGTGCCACATGCACACCAGATTTTGGAGACTAGAATGAAAACTGAACGTAAAATATCTCAATAATAATTATTTTGATATTAACTGTATGTTAACATAACATATTAGATATGCTATCATGTTTAACAAAATACTATTAAGATTATTTTCACTTGTTCTTTTGCACTGTTTTAAAAATATAGGCACTAGAAAATTAAAATTACATGTGTGGCTCACAGCTGTGTCCTGCATTCTTTTCTTACTGGACCACTTCTGCTGTAGGCCATGCACCCAGACTTTTACTGCCAGAATCTCCTACCTTGGCCTTGCTTATTGACCGATAAGAGACAAGTTTCTCCCTGCTCTGGGCTTCTTTCCAAAACTGGAGAGTGAGTGGTTTGTGCCAGATGAGGGTTTAGTTTCATTTATCTTGTTTTGTTTCTAGGCTAAAGTGTTCAACATTGTTGAATTCCTTACTGCCTTTATATTTTATTTATTTATTTAGAGACGGAGTCCCACTTTATTGCCCTGGGTAGAGTGCCATGGCATCATAGATCACAGCAACCTCAAAGTCCTGGGCTCAAGAGATCTTCTTGCTTCAGCCTTCTGAGTAACTGGGACTACACATGCCTGCTACAATGCCTGAGAGATGGGGTCACACTCTTGCTCAGGGTGATATCAAACTCCTGAGCTCAAGCAATCCACCAGCCCTGGCCTCCCAGAATGCTAGGATTTAGACTTTTCTAGAACAAGTGGAAGATTTAGCAATCCCAAATGAGTGTGATAACAAAAGGCTAGAGTTGAATCAGGGTTATTCCTGCTGGTGGAATAACCTCCAGAGGGCAAACCCTCTGTTTGCCACAGTCCCCACTACTCCCTAGTGTCTGCTATGCCTGTTTTATTCATTGACTTTTCCAGCCAGGGTCTGAAGCCTTCTGAACTTGCCACTCCTGGATTTACTGTTTAATTTTTAACATTAAATTACTGTTTAATTTTTAACATTCTACCATCCCACATTTTCAGTACATACAACTGTTTTCTCCTGATCTAAGAATTTCCCTTACTGGTTTGAGTGTTTTTCTCTTCCCAGAGGTGAGGTTTAGAGAGACAGTGGCTCTAAAAGCAGAGCTAGCAGTGTGCATTAAGGTCAGAAAGGGCTCCCAGAAGCCACCCTTTATTGTGGTCTTGGGTTGTTGGATCCAAGTATGGGAAAGTCAGTCTGGCATGGCCAAGTGCCATCTGCCCTTAGTTGTAGCACAGTTTGCAGAGGTGGTGGCATCGGCCTACCTCCTTGAGTTCAGCGGGCCTGGAATTGGACAATGCCATTTGGACCAGGAAAACGGAGAGAAGAAAGGGGAGCCGTGGGCATTATGAGTAAAAGAAAAGCCAGCCGGTGTGAGGCAAATGGCATTGTCTGCATTTGTCAAAGGCTCTATAGAACGGGACCTAGACGCCCCAGGGAAGGCCAGTGTGACCTATAGCAACTGCGCAGTGTGAGGGGCAAACAGATGGGCAAACACCTGCCCCAGACACCCCCGGGACTATTTCCTTCTCCATTTGTGCCAGGATATTACGCAGCTGTCAAAGGAAGTCGAGAGGGTCAGTTAGGGTGCAAACTCAGAGCAGAAGTGGGTCAGACTGAGGACACAGATGTGCTATTTCCCTGTAAACAGACCAGGGGGAGTGATCTCTTCATAAGAGGGAGGGAGTGTGCTTCCTCTGGGCCTCTGCTCTCCATTTCAGGAGTGGTCAGTTCCACAGAAAGTCTTAAAAAAATGCCTCTCTGAAATAACCAGTCTCTGCTCTGCCTGCTTCCTGCAAAGCTCATTGCTAAGTACCCTGGAAACTGCCACCATGAATACATTTTAAGTTTGCAGGGTGAGGATACTCTGACTCATGAAGTGACCGATGGAAACCATGTCCCCCGTGGATCTCTCACCTGCTACCCAGAGCCCACCTCCCATTTCGTCCCCTTTCCCACCTTTGCTGTGGGAGGTGGTGTGGCACAGAGATGGGGGTAGAACTCTGGAGTCAGATGAGCATAGCTCTGCTGCTCACTGACCCTTCAAACCCCACTGTGGATGTTTGCTCTTTGTGTGATCGTAAAGTAATTACTGAACCTATCCGAGATGCCAGCAGCTCAACAGTTCATCACAGAGTAGGATCTTTCTAGGATCCCACTGTGCCATCCTCAGTGGTTGGGACTGCAGCCCAGGCCAGTTGCCTCATGGTCCTAAGATGCCTGCCACAATTCCTGCTTTCACCTCTATATTCAAGATTGGAAAAAAAAAAGGGAAAGACCTCTCTCATTCTCATCTCTTTCATCAAGAAAGCAAAATCTTTTCAGTAATGCCCAGCAGACTACACTTCATATCCCTCCAGCCAGAATGAATGTACCTAGCTGCAAAGGTGTCTCTGGCTTGTTTTGGTGTCTTTAGAAGTAGGTGGTAAGGCAGAGGGGGCTGTCTAACGATGCTTGGATTGGCCAACTAGCAGTAAGGGTGTACCCACTCCTCAAATTTCCAATATCACCTTTCATCTTTCCCTCATTGTTCTTTCTCTCTTTTCCCCTCTGGAAAAAGTGGTTGGGGTATGGTGGGGTCAGTCACCTGTTTTTAGTAAATTTTTATTGTTGTAGCCCTGCTTCCAAGAGCCAACATCTTTGATGTCCCATACACAATGAATTGAGTACTGTCAAATTCAAGATTAAGGCAGACTGCCAAGACTCTGTGGTTTTGGAAGGTCTCATGGCACTGCCCTTTCCAGGCAGACAGGGACCCTCCCAGAGCCTGAGCTGCCAGGTAAAACCAGAATCATGTGAAAGGGAACTCGGTGAGTGTGTATGTGTGTGTGTGTGTGCACGAGTGTTACCCCACAGTGCTTAGAGCTCTCCCAGAGTCACGTAGGAACTAAGTCCTTGTGTTTTTCAGGTTTGGGGTGATTCACTCAGTGTTCACCAACCTGCTTCTGTGGGCCAACGGGGTCCTCAATGAGTCCAAACATCAGCTTAATGAACACAAGGAGCGACTGGTCACGCTGGGCTTTGGGAACATAACAATAGGTGAGTGAGTGTCCCTTCCTTCCCCGTGCTGGAACGTCACAGAGACCTGCCAAGACCAGAGTGTTCAGAGATGGAGGCACCGGGGCTGAAGAACTGCAGGGTTCGCCCAACTCAGCGCCAGCTAGACAGGCCCCTGCTGTTGAAAATCTTACAAAACCTCCCTGAGTCTGTCATCCTGCCTCCCACGGTGGTGCGGGTGGAGCGTAATTAGAGGTTCTGTCCATGCCTCAGGGCCTTGAACCTAGAGGTTACCATTTCCATCACCATTTTCATGGTCCAATTTGCTACAGAAATAAATGCCTTTGTTTTCAATGATGAAAGACTGATGGTTGTTTCTGTTTGTGTTTTTGATTAAACTTCTATTACCAGTTCTTACTATCAAAAGTATAGCTTTTAGGGCAGCGCCTGTGGCTCAGTGAGTGGGGTGCTGTCCCCATATACCGAGGGTGGTGGATTCCAGCCTGGCCCCAGCCAAACTGCAACAACAACAACAAAAGTATAGCCTTTAAAAAACTCATGGAAGTCTAATGGTAGGTTGTGGTCAAGTGGTTGTGACTCATTTGAAGTTATTATTGAACTGTGCTTGGCTTATAATTTTGGTCCATTTTTATTCCTCCTGTTCCTATTTAAGCACCTGTAGCACTAATTTTTATGTTTTTCTTACAAATTCTAGCATTTACAATACATCGTGTCTACATTAGAACATTCAGTGTGAGGGGATGTGGGGTAGCGGAGAGTGCAGTGTGCTGGGAGGTGAGCGTTGCAGGCTCACTCCTGTCACACCCGGCTGTGTGCCATTTGGAGGCTGTTCATCTGTCTGAGCCGCCCTTTTCTCATTTGTAAAGTGAGGGACGTTAACCAAGCGCTGGCAGAGGTCCTCCTACCCTGCTGTGTGACAAGCCCAGGCTGCTGTGGGGCCCCAAGCCCATCCGGCAGAGCAGCTTTCAGCCCATTCACTCATTAGTGGGGTGGAGACACTGAAATCAAGGGCACCCCCTCCAACTAGCAGCCCACCCTTGGGAAGGTCCTCCTCGCTCTTTGAGCCTCAGTCACTCATTCCATGACAACAATAACAAAACTAGGTTTTTCCTAAGCCTTGGGTGACAGTGGCTCATCTAACACTTGCCCCAGTGCTCTAAGGCAACACCAACCTCGATAGGTTGGTAACGCTGTCAAACCACGGAGAAGTTAGGTCACTAGCCCAGCGTCACACAGTGAATTTGAGATTGAGCCAGGATTTGCATCCTAGCAATCTGGCTCCAAGGCCCTCTGTGAAAGAAAAGGCTAGATTAATTCACCGGAAAAGAAGTCCATCAGCTCTAACATTCTGTTAATCTGAACTTTTTCTCTGGATTTCCTCTATGTAATACTGTACTGAGTTGCAAGGGGTGGGGAGTCCTTATGAACTAAAAAATGTACAGTGTTCTGCAAAAGTGAGGGTAATTAATGCTATTCTAAAGCTTTTCCGTCTGATTTATAAGTAGTATATCATAAATTAAAACAAGGACAAAGTGAGAAGAAAAAATCCACAATAATGCCTAGCCAGAAATGCAGTAAATGCTGTTAACATTTGATTATTTCTTTGTAGTGTGCTATTTATTTATTTATAATTGATTTTATACTTATATATCAAATCTTGTTTTGACTGTAACTTACAATCAGAAATAGATTTTATATTGCAACCCAAATACACATACCTCTGTGTGTATGAAGAAATAATACTTAATCTTATTATATCAAAGACATTTTCAAATTTCTATTGTATTCAGTTCCTTTCCATTCTATCCTATTTCATTCCATTGCAAATCTATTCTCTTAAAAAAATGTTGGTTGCTATCCTCTAAACTGATTTTATAACGTGGTGCTGGGTTTCGACCTACAATTAAAAGAAAATACTAGCTATGTAATTTATTCTTAATTTTGAGTTAGAGTTAGGGTTTCCGTTTTCATTCCAACATGAATCTTTCCCATATTATTATAACACATCTTAATTGTACTTTTTAATGCCTGCCTCCTATTCCATTGTATGGATGTACTAAAATTCACTTAATTTCTAAATTGTCGGACATTGAGGTATTCTTCTCCTTTTCTTTCCCTTCTGCCCTCCTCCTTCTTTTTTTCTTCCCCCCCCCAACTCTTTGATTACATTTTTTACTTATCCCTTAGAGGAGAACAGAAGATTGGGTTCATGGGTCAGAGACTGTATCTATTTTACCGTTCAGGCTTTAGTTACACGTTTCATTGTTTATTTACAGCCCTTTCCCTCCTCCTTATGAATGGTTCTTTGTACTGTTGCCAGGCTATTTTCTAGAAGGAGGTGCCCATTCTCACACACTCACTGGTTCTGGAGAGTGCCGTCTCCTGCCCCATTGGAGAAGCAAATCTTTACTGATTAAAAGGGGAATTTCCCCCACAACATATATATATATTTTTTTGAAACAGAGCCTCAAGCTGAGCCCCTGGATAGAGTGCCCTGGCTTCACTGCTCACAGCAACCTCCAACTCCTGGGCTCAAGCGAGTCTCCTGCCTCAGCCTCCCAAGTAGCTGGGACCACAGGCACCCACCACAACGCCCGGCTATTTTTTGGTTGCAGCCGTCATTGTTGTTTGGCGGGCCCGGGCTGGATTCGAACCCGCCACCTTAGGTGTATGTGGCTGGCACCTTAGCCACTTGAGCCACAGGCGCCGAGCCACACAAAATATTTTTTAAAATAACTTTAAAAGTCACACACATAAGTCATATTCACAGAGAAAATTAGGCAAAACCTACAATAGAGAAAATATAAAAGAAAATAAAAACCACCTGTTGCTTTTCTGTTCAGAGGTAACATTGTTAACATTTGAGTTTGTCCTTCCAGACTTTTTTCTATGTCTGTCTCCATTGTCTACATATCTATTTTTTAATAAAAACGGACTCATGGAGGCTCGGTGCCTGTAGCACAGTGGTTACGGCACCAGCCACATACGCTGAGGGTGGTGGGTTCGAACCCGGCCCAGACCAGCTAAACAACTGCAACAACAACAACAACAAAAAATGGACTCATGGTCTCTATCCTTTTTGATAATCTGCCAAATAAATATGATTCATGGCTATCAATTTAGCCATGATGTTAAACATAACAATAAGCCATGAAATAAAGCTTATAATGTGGTAGGAAGACCCACACGTGGATCCCCGGTGGGAATCTTTCACTGTGCTTCCATTTCCTCCCTCTGCGTGTGCTAACCACCCTCCATGATCTCCTGTTCCCCCAGCTCTGGATGACCACACTCCTCAGTGCAACTGTAGCCCCCCACCTCTCTGCTCGGTCATCTCTCACGGCATCTACTACCTGTACCCCTTCAACATAGAGTATCAGATCCTGGCCTCCACCATGCTGTACGTCCTGTGGAAGAACATTGGGCGCAAAGTTGACAGCCATCAGCAGCAGAAGATGCAGTTCTCGTCCGATGGGGTCCTGGTGGGAGCGGCCCTGGGCCTGACTGCGCTGGCTGCCACCATTGGGGTGGTGGTGGTGTACCTGATTCGCATTGGGCGCTCCAAGAGTAAGAGTGAGTCAGCACTCGTCATGTTCTACTTGTATGCCATCACCCTGCTGATGCTCATGGGGGCTGCAGGGCTGGCTGGAATCTGGATTTACAGGAAGAATGAGAAATCACTAGATGAGTCCAAAAACCCAGCCCGCAAACTGGACTCCGACCTCTTGGTGGGCACTGCCTCGGGCTCCTGGCTCATCTCCTGGGGCTCGATCTTGGCTATCCTCTGTGCCGAGAACCACCCCCCCTACACCTGGTACAACCTGCCCTACTCCCTCCTGGTGATTGCAGAGAAATATATCCAGAACCTCTTCATCATCGAGTCCATCCACCGTGAGCCTGAGAAGCTCCCTGAGGACATCCGCACTCTTCAGGTGGTCACGGTGTGCAGTGGCAATGCCGTGTCCCTTGCTTCTTCCTATCTCAGGAGTGGGGGTGTGACTGGAGATGTCCCTGGCCCGGGCAGTGCCGAGGCCCATGCAGCCAATGGGAATGTGTGTCTGCGAGGAGGCTCGGGAAAGGAAGAGGAGGAGAGTGGCTGGGGAGGGACCCTGAGCCCAGCCTGCTGTTCCCATTTCTTGCAGGGCAATGCCAAGAGAAGAGTCTTGAGGAATATTGCAGCCTTTTTGTTCCTCTGTAATATTTCGGTAATCTGCATCAAATTATTGGAATTATTTTAAAATCAACTGATCTATTTTCTTTGCCCTTTTCAAATAAGGAATGGAAGCAACTTGTAATAGCAATACATCAAGTATCAGGTTAAAAAATGAGTCTGGTGGGCAGTGCCTGTGGCTCAAAGGAGTAGGGCGCTGGCCCCATATGCTGGAGGTGGCAGGTTCAAACCCTGCCCGGGCCAAAAACTGCTAAAAAAAAAAAAAGAGGCTGGGAAGTAGACCTGTGTTCTACAAATTTACCTGCTGAGGACATGCTGTGTATGGGGTGGCTAGGCTGGGCATTCAAGATTAAAGGTGAGAGGACTCAGTCTCTCTCCTCAAAAAGATCTCAGCACAGTGAAGGAGGAAGACCAGGAGAAGGCATATTACAATGAGTAGGACAAGTGGGGAGGCAGGATGCATGCAAGGTGCTACGGAACAGGGACCAGAGGGGCTGCAGTGGCAGGGAATGCTTGAGGTGCTCCAGTATAAACTGGGAGTGCCCTTGGCTGTAAGTAACAGACATTTTGACCAGCAGGGAGTTTAGTGTTATTTTGCACAAATTTCAGAGGTTAGCTGCTTGTGTATGGCCTGGCAGCTGAACCATGCCATCAGGCACTCAAGCACTCACTGTTCATCTTTCCACCTGACTGTGCTTGTTGTGGTGCTAGTTGCTACGTGATCACAAGATAGCTGCAGCAGCACCAGGCATCACATCTGTGGTTGAGAGAGGAAGTATTGGTAAAAGGCTGGTGCCAGGCAATGTCTCTCATGTGGGCACTCGAGCTGCAAGGGAGGCTGGGGAAGTGGATGGTTTGCTTTCTGGTCTTCGTGGTGAAAGGCAGCAAGGGGAGAAGAATGTGGGTAGTTACGCAATATTGTCCTTGTCAGCGTGGACAACTGGAAGTCCACTGCGTGGTCAAGGAGGAGAAGAGGCAATGTGGCCTGTTTAGGGAACAGAAAGCAGTTCAGCATGAATTCATATGTGTTAAATGGAAAAGCAGTGGGGAGTAGGAGACAGTGTGGGGCTAGATGGGATCGGGTTTGAGCTGGAGTCTGGTCTTTACGCTGAGGGCAAGAGAGGACCCTCTCAGATTTGTGTGTTGGAATAATGCTCCCAGCTGCAGGGCATGGGAAGGATGGAGAGATAGGGCCAGGGCAGTGAGACTCCAGCACAGGCCCCTGAAGTGGCCCAGGTAGGAAAGGATAGGAGCTTGAACTTGGACACTGGCTGGGGAAGATGGAGAGCACATAAAGAGGTAACGAGCATTGTGTACTGTTGGGGATTTTCTGGCAACACAAAGAAGGATGGCAGGACATGGTGGAAAGGGGCAAGCAGACTTTGGCTCCACATGTGCCTCTGTGGTGACCGTGGATGGTGGGAAACTCCTCTGTCCACAGAGGGGCCCACCCGCCATTCTGGGTAAAGTAAGCTCTCTGCTACTGGCCCCCATGTCATCAGGTCTCTGCTGTGTTACCCCATCAGCTCGAAGGCCTCTGAGCTTCCTACCCCTAATCTTAGTTGGCACATGCCCGGAACTGCAGCTTTGGATATTTCCCTAAAGCCACAAAATTGGGAGGGTCTCTCTGCAGGCAGATCAGCCATGTGTCTGCCAAGCAAATCTGATTCTTGCCTTGGGTCTCCGAGGGGTAGGCAGGAGGAGCTCTGAAGGAGGAAGGGCCCAAAAGCGTTTGGTTCCAGGCCAACTCTCTTCTCTAATCGAATAGATGTATGTCGAGCATCTGCTGTGTGCCAGGAACTATGTCAGAAGTGGGGAAGGCAGGCTGAGTTTGAGCCGTGTTTTATATACTCAAGTTGCCAGTGGAAAACATGAGCCCAGACTTCTTGAAGCTGGTGTGGACTGGAGATTTCAATTAGGAAGTCACAGGCCTATAGCCAGTATTTACAACCAGAGGTGAGGTGAGCGCTCCAGGGCTCCTGTGCATGGGCACAAGAAGGGGACCCAGGAATGGGTCCTGGTGCCTGCCAGCATTAAGGGTTGAGCAAAGATGAGACAGCAAAGGAGGCTGGAAAGAACCATCGGCTGAAGTGGCAGAGGAGATGCCCCCAAGAGCCAACGGGCTCCATGGGACAGAGATGCTCGGGACCTGAGGCGCATTGGTCCCAGGTCCCCTGTGCTTAGTGAAATGCACAGACGCTCATGTCCTTTGTACAAAATGGAGCAGTATTTGCCTGTAGCCTACACACATCCTCCAGCACGCTTTGAATCATCGCTGGGTTATTTATAATACCCAATACAATGTAAATGTTATGTAAATACTTGTTATACCATACTGAGTAGGGAATAATGATAAGAAACAGTAATCCGTACATGTTCAGTACAGAAAAAAATCCATTTTATATTTTGAATATTTTTGATCCATAGTTAGTTGAATCCAGATATGTGAGCACCCAGTGCACAGGACCGACTGCATGCTAGGGAGTGTTGTGTACAGAGCTGTCAGTGACGACTGTGTGCATCCCTTAGCTATTGCTGTGTAAGAAACTACCCCAAAACTTAGCGACTTAAAATAACAGACATTGATTACTTCATAGTTTCTCTGGGTTCCGGATCCAAGCACAGTTTAGCTGCTGTTCCTGCTCAGGACCATCCCCAGGCTGCAAACTGTCAGCCATGGGCATAGCCATCTGAAGGCTTGGCTTTGAAAGAAGGTGGTGAGGATCTGTTTCCAGACCTGCTCATGTGGCTGTGGGCAGGATTTAGTTGTGGGTTGCCGGACCTAAGGTCTAAGTTCGTTGCTGTTGGCCCAAGACCTGCCTCAGCTCTCTGCTGCATGATCTCTGTTGGGTAGTGGGTCGTGTGGCAGCTGGTCTCCTCTCTAGCAAGAGAGGGCGAGCAGGATGGATACCAGATCCTTCTTTAACCTAATCTCAGAACAGAGGCCCTGTGACTTTTTTTTTTTTTTTTTTTTTTTTTTTTTTTGAGACAGAGCCTCAAGCTATCCTCCTGGGTAGAGTGCCGTGGCATCACAGCTCACAACAACCTCCAACTCCTGGGCTCAAGCCAGTCTCCTGCCTCAGCCTCCCAAGTAGCTGGGACCACAGGCGTCTGCCACAATGCCCAGCTATTTTTTGGTTGCAGCTGTCATTGTTGTTTGGCGGGCCAGGGCTGAATTCGAACCCACCACCTTTAGGTGTATGTGGCTGGCGCCTTAGCCACTTGAGCCACAGGCGCCCAGCCAGTCCCTGTGACTTTTGCCAAACCTCATGTGTTAGAAGTGAGTTACTAGGTTCCCCCCAAATCCAGGAGTGGGAACTCCACAAGGAAGTGACTCCAGGAGCTGGGATCATGGAAGGTCATTCCAAAGGCTGCTGGTCATGGTGTGGGCGTGGAGAAAGCTTCAAAAGGACCAGTCCCCAGAGAGCCTGACAACTTAAGAGGTGGAAGAAGGGGAGGGATGTGGGACAGAGAAGGGCTGAGAAGGGGCCAATGTGTAGGTTCCATGAGCAAAAAAAGTGATAGGTCATTGCTTGAAGTTTTGCAAACTTAGTTCTCATTCTATGCTCATCTGAGCCCTCTCAGACAGGTACTAGTATTTCCATTTTACAGATGAGGAAACTGAGGCTGGGTGAGGCTGGCAGGGACAGAGAGACTTGAATGGGTTCAGAAAGCATTCATTCAGGACAGGTTGTAAGGAGTGTGGGTGAGGAAGAGAGAAGGCTCAGGGCAGGCTCATGGACTTGATGGTTTCCGTGGAGATGGGAAATGCTGTGCAGTCTCCTTACCACTTGGACAGGTGTGACTCAGTGGAGCCTGGGACTTGAGTGGGGCCTCCTAGGTGGCTTGGAAGCTGCTCACCATGACACTGTTTTCTCTTCCCTTGCAGCTTTGGATACCTCCTGCCTTTGGCTGCCGCCCTGAGTATGACAATGGATTGGAGGAAATTGTCTTTGGCTTTGAGCCTTGGATAATTGTGGTCAACCTGGCCATGCCTTTTTCTATTTTCTACCGAATGCATGCAGCTGCCTCCCTCTTTGAGGTCTATTGTAAGATATAATCTGGGTCCACAAGAGACTGAGGAATGAGTGAACAAGAGAGTTCACTGGAGCCACCTGGGAAAGGCCACCTTGGGCAAATAATGCTTGTCAAATACGAGAAGGCCGCCCTTTGTCTGCACAGAGTGTGTTTCCTGTGGGCTGAGTTGTCTATCACTCTTGATTCATGTAAACAAGTTAGACCAGAGTCTAGGAAGCGGCTGAAAGACGTCCTCGGTTAGTTCATTCTAATCAAACCCAAATTATTTCATCATGTTCTAAATGAGACTCTGTTTTAGAAGAATATATTTCTAGGTTTGGAAAAAGATTTATCCAGTTTGTTTTCCATAAAAATCATTTTCTGTTTATGATGTATTGTTTGACTCCATACAGCCTTTTCCTGACCACTTGCACAGTAACCACCCCTTGATTTTTATCCTTCTCAGAGTTGATGAATGTAATGTAATCAGTCAGTTTGTATTGTAGTTTCTGATAGGCTTAATTTCAGAACAAAATTACTTGTAACATATGGATGGAAATTTACATATAGATTAATATGGAGACATTTCTCACCTAAGATTTTGGCATGTTTTTATTTGTGATCATTTTGAAGTATTTCTAAAAATAAATATTACTGTTCATTTCTCACTATAAATACATATGCATTTATTATAGAAAACTTGGATATTTCAGAAAAGTAGAGAAAAAATTACTGATGTCATTGTTCAATTGACAAATTATTTTTTAACATTTTGGTAAATGTACAGTCACAGCTTTTGACTGTGTTGATGCATCGATTCTTTTTTGTTTTTTGAGACAAAGCCTCAAGGTGTCACCATGAGTAGAGTGCTGTGGCATCACAGCTCACAGCAACCTCCAACTCCTGGGCTCAAGCAATTCTCCTGCCTCTACCTCTCAAGTAGCTGTGACTACAGGCACCTGCTACAATGCCCGGCTATTTTTTTTGGTTGCAGCCGTCATTGTTGTTTGCTGGGCCCAGGCTGGATTCGAACCCACCAGCTCAGGTATATGTGGCTGTTGCCTTAGCCGCTTGAGCCACAGGCGCCGAGCCTGCATAGATTCTTTTTATTATCATTATACCTGCTGGTGATGATGCCACGTATTTGATTTTATATCCAGTTTTTTCACCACTTAAACGTTTCTCCCATCTCGCTATAAACTCTTTATAAACATCGTAATGCTGTATCACAGTCTATCCAGTGACTACCATAATTAGCTTAGTTTCCTATTTGTTTTAGGATGTTTATAACTTTTTGCCTTTATAAGTACCTATAAAAATTGATTATATTTGTAAAGCATTTTCTTATACTTAGCATTGCTTCTTTAAGATAAATAGTTAAAATTAGGAAGCCTAATCCCAAAATTATGAACATTTTAAATATTTTAAAGGTGCCTAAGGAATACTGACATTTGGGAGGCTCTTTCACGATTTTCCATACTTATCTTAAAATTGTAATAAAAATAGTTTATTTACTGGAAATGCTTTTCACTTGGATATGTATATATATTGTGTGTGTATACACGCATACGTAGAGGGTGCCAAAAAAGTGTACACATTCTAAGATGGGAAAAAACTGTGTAAAAATTATAATATGCAATATATACAGATGACATCTATTATCATGTATAGTGTCTTGTACCTCTTGTAATGGCAGAAGTCAAATGTGACTTATTACAGTTTTTTTTTTTTTTTTAAAGACAGAGTCACAGGCTGTCACCCTGGGGAGAGTGCCATGGCGTCACAGCTCACAGCAACCTCCAACTCTTGGGCTTACGTGATTCTCTTGCCTCAGCTTCCTGAGTAGCTGGGACTACAGGCGCCCACCACAATGCCCAGCTATTTTTTTTTTTTTGGTTGTAATTGTCATTGTTGTTTGGCAGGCCCAAGTTGGATTCAAACTGGCCAGCTTTGTTGTATGTGGCTGGCACCCTAGCCCCTGAGCTATAGGTGCCGAGATGACTTATTACAATTTGAACACAGTTTTTTTCTTTCTTAAAATGCGTGTCTATTCTCCTGGCACCCTTCGTGTGTGCGCATGTATATATGTACATATGTTTACAGCACAGGCAGTGGGACTTTAAGAAACACCAAGTTCTTTTTACTCAGCTAAAATACATTCATTCTGGAAAAAAATACAAAAAGGGGGGCATATGTACTGGAAACAGAGAAAAACTTCATCTCTAATAACTTCCACCTGAGAGGCCGTTCTCAGTCTGGAAGTCTTGTTTCCCCAGGGAGCAACTGGCACTGTCTGCAGACAGTTGCAATTGTTACCCTCCCACTATAAAAAATCATCTGGCCCCAAATGTCAATGGTGATGAGATTGAGAAACTGATCCAGGGTTGAGTTTTGGTACCTAGGTCCCTATCAGTAAAAACACACACACATGCACACATGGGATTATTTTTATATATACTGAGTTTGCATGTCACTTGCTTTTTTCCTTATAATACACCAGGGTGTGCTATTACCCAATTTTGTGTCCTCATGGCATTGATTAGTTAAGAGTCATGTACAGAACTTGGTAAGAGTTCCTGCCCTCCAGCTGGAAGTTCAAATTTCGTGATCCATATTGGGACCCAAAAATCTGCATTTTATTTTTATTTTATTTCTTTTTTTTGAGACAGAGTCTCACTCTGTCTCCCTCAGTAGAGTGCCATGGTATCATTCCTCACAGCAACCTCAAACTCTTCGGCTCAAGGGATCCTCTTGCCTCAGCCTCCTGAGTAACTGGCTACACAATGCCAGCTATTTTTAGAAACCAGTCATGGTCTTGCTCAGGCTAGCCTTGAAGTCCTGAGCTCAGGCTATCCACCCAGATAGCTTGGCTTCCCAGAGTGTGAGGATTACAGGCACGAACCTCTGTGCCTGGCCCAGAAATGTGCATTTTAATGGCATGTCAGGTTGTGCCAAGTCCCTTTGAGAAGCAGCTGCTTGGGAGTTCATGGTCCTCAAGATAAGACTCCTGAACACTGTTCCCTGACGTGGTGTATTAGCTTGCAGTATGATACTGGGTGGCTCTAATGTATGGAGGGCAATAGCATTCCTTATTTAGTCAGTCATGTCAGACATTTAGGTGGTTTCCTCTTTTGGGCGATATTATAAATACTGCCATGGTGAACATTTTCATAACTGAGTCTTCAAGCTCACTGACAAATTGCCCTATGGAGTGATTTATGTTGACTCAGCAGCAGTTACTCAGCTGTTACCCTCTGTTCTAAGCACATCAATATAGCCCTGGGGTTTGCCTAAGTTTGCCTGTGGGTTTGGGGCTCTGTCAAGAAGATAAAGGAAGCCATAATAATGCTAGGAGCAATTGATCTAGGCTTTGGTGCTAGGGTAGACACAGGGCACTGTCACTGAACTTGGAAAAGCTAGCAGGTCTGATTGGGCGCAGAGCTTTAAAGGAGTGACTTTGAGTGTCTCTCGGCCCAGACAGGGGGAGCCCTGCACCCTCAGGGGTGACTATTTCAGCCAGGCAGTTTTCACCCACAGGTAAATGAGCATCCTGACCCAACTGGCTTCGTTAGCAAGGAATATTCATGATCTTAGCACCAAGGCAGTTCACAGAAGAGGAGCTAGGGTATATAACAAGCAGTGTTATTAGATCCTTGGGACTTTAATAAGGGAAATAGAAATTAGCATAATAATGAGCTACCACTTCCCATTATCATATAGGCAAGGGTTGGCAGGGTATAAAAGAAAGGGGTTTCACACACACTGGTGCATGGAGAGTGAACTGCTAATACCAGATTGGAGGACAACTGTCGATATTGGCTGGGGCTGGGGATGAACTTCCCTCAAGACCTGGGGATTCTTGGGTGGCACCTGTGGCTCAAAAGGGTAGGGCGCCAGCCTCATATGCCAGAGGTGGCAGGTTCAAACCCAGCCAAAAAAAAAAGACCTGGGATTCTTCCTTGGTGTGTGCTTCAAGGACAATCTCCCGCATATTGGTTGTGTTCAGGAATGTTCACTGCCGCGTTGCTTGCTATTGGGAGAAATGGAAGACAACCCTAAATATCTACCAGTTAGAGTACAGGTAGATAGACTATGGACTACGCCTACAATGGAGTATTTCCCTGAGTGAGAAGTGAAGGGGCCAGAACTCTTGCCTCAGCATGGGTGGTTCCAAAGCAAGGTTGCACTGAAGAATTCAGTAGCACAGGCCTATTCACATGATGTCCAGCAACAGTTGGGGAGTACAGACATGTGTCATAAGATTATGTACACATGTGAAGAAAGAATAAGCACCAGGTTCAGCACAGTGGGAAGGGGCAGGACTTGGAGACTGACATCTGAGTGTATGCTGTATCTGAAATGTTTTACCTGTTAAGCACAGATCAGTGCACCTGATTCTGCACTTTGTAAATATTCATGAGCTATTTCATAGTAGAAACATTGGAAAGGAAGAAAAGAGAAAGTCAGTGTAACTTTGACAAAGCCACTAGAGAAGGTGAATTTCCATAATTCATCCACTGTTGAGGAGCGAGCGTTCTGGTCTCCTCGGCCAGTGGACCCTCGAGGGGAGACAGTTCAATGCTCTTAGCTGTGAAGATCACCAATTTGCCCCCATGGGTGGCTCTGCGCTTAATAGGTAACCTGACACTGATCTGCCTTAGCACAAAGCTCTTCGCTGAAGGTACACACGTATTACAAGGACAGTCTCTTACTGTGATGGATGAATGTTGTGTCCCCTGCCTCCCCACCAAAGTCAGATCTTGACACCCTAGTCCCAATGCGATGGCATTTGGAGGTAGGGCCTTTGGGAGATAATTAGACCCTGAAGATGGGCCCTGGTGGGCCCCTCCTGAATGGGACTGGTACCTCTGCAAGAAGGGGCCAGAGAACTTGCAGGCTCTTTTTCCATCACATGAGGTTACAATGAGAAGCTAACAGTTGGCAACCCAGAAGTTCAGCAGAATCCGACTGTGCCGGCACCCTGACCTTGGATGTCCAGCCTCCAGCACTGTGAGAAATAAGTTTGTGTTGTTGATAAGCCCCAGTTTGTGGCATTTTGTTACAGCAGCCTGAGCTAAGACACTCACCCGCTGGAACCCTGAGTAGCAGGAGCCATGCAATT